TATTCCCTGTGAAATAAGCTATAATTTCAAACTCCGACCAAAACACCCAGAGGTGTTTAGATCTTGAACTTCCCCAATTAATCAGCATTTTGAACAAATTGGTTGAGAGAATGATTCAATGACTCACTCATATAGACAGTAGTCACTTGTTTTGTTTCTGAACAAATGAGTATTTTAAGCAAATCAGTTGAGTGAATGATTCAATAAGTTTGTTTGATGACAGCTGATTCAACCACTAGTTTTATATAATTGACTCTGATATTTATCCATATCCAGAAAAAACGAAACAGCACTGCATCTTAAACAGAATATGTAATGTCTATAATTCTATATATATATATATATATATATATATATTTATATATTATATATTTATTTATATATTTATAACATCTCATGCATGTTAATTACCCACAGTGATGACTAATATCACTTGTTGCTTGAATACATTTAACATAGTAGACCAAATCAATACCAAGAAGGCCAAATTGTGATGGATGCACTTTGTGCTGACACAGAGCTCTAAACTCAGTGGGATAGAGAGCCAAGAGCTCCCATAGCTACTGAATTAATAATGAGCATGGGTACTGCTGATTGGCCCCCTCTTTCCCTGCAGGGCAAAAGCAGCCCGTGTCTCTAAAGCCCTGATTGATTAGCTGCTTATTATTAATAGATATGGGTTAAGACTTTGATATGACTGGCCTGTTTGAAAACACACACATCAAATGTGTATAAAAATAGTAGAAATATATGCATATTGCAGTATGCATAATCAATTCAGAGTAAACAGAGTCAAGAATAGAGTTTGTGCAATTTGCCTCGTAGTAAACAATTGTTCTGTGAAGTAGAATTTCTTTGTGCGAGATGAATGAAATTGAGTCTCAAAAGTAGTATGTATACTCCGTTTCCCTAGTTGACAAGTCTCTGCAGTGCATGCTCTTCAGGATTCAAGGTTGCTAAAGGCTCTAGCCTTAAAGCCCTAATCAATATGTTGGATTTGACTCTTTGAGCTCCACACCTATTTACCATGGAGCACAACCTTGAGACACCACAAATAAGGAGTGAGAGGGAATTTAGGCTCTAGTGCAGCTGTCCAGTCACAGTGCAGGACCCAAGGGAGGACATGAATTGTAATGAGCTAGAGAGAGATCGGTATGGATGAATTAACATAAGGAACATTAATAACAATAATAAAATGTTAAAATAAAAACTAAATTAAATGTAAAATTTAAACTTTTTTTTCCTTCAATGTATATATACACATACATTATATACAATGTGTACATATATTCTGCATATATAAACCGAATGAGCAAAAAAGAAGATGAGAGAGAGAGAGTATATATATATGTATGTATATATACACATATACACACACACACACATACAAACCAGGGCTCACAAAATCGCTAGCCCGACGTCCTGGGGCTATTGTGTTTTCAAATCGGGCTACCAAAATGTATCACTGCCCTGCCCTACAGGCTATCTTAAATGCAGATCTCCCGCGGGTCCTTAAAAACTCCTAAAGTGAGTTGTATCAACTTTAAGGCCATAAAAAGTTTTAAATACGTTAAATGGTATAAGAAATGTCTTAATTATAATTTCAAGAGGTCTTACAGTTGGGGACGGAAAGACAAGAGTCGAGATACGGCTGGATTAAACTTCAAAAGGCAATGATATCATTGAATAATGATGATATATGAGCGCTGCATGTTTCAAATCAAAACGCGGCTCGGATGTCTTTATTTGAATGTATCTGAAGTGAACCGACTGTCCTCAGAAACGGAGCTGCTTTGTGTACAGCCGTTACCGGGGAAACCACATTATTTCAGCGCTCCTAAAGCGTTACCACGTGGCAGAGAATGAATTTGCATTTCCAACAAGCCTTTCTTGCTGTTTTATGGTCAGATCAATGCAAATATCAACTCATGTTTTTACGCAGCAAACACAGACTTGTAAATAAAGAAGTTAATGTGCCTTCTAAAAATCTAAACAATTAAGATGTTTTAAATTGACAATTTATAGGCTTGATTTATCCCTTTTCATAAAAATGGTCTAAAGGCTGAAAATGCTGTTGTATAATTTGTTATAAGATTTTTGTTTTTGTGAAAACCTGTATCTGAACTGTAAATCATGTAATTTTATGGCTCAATACTGTATGTTACCATAGACATTGTCCAACCCCACTCATACTGTGTTCATGTTACTTGTGCAGCTCTTAAAATGGGTCATAAATTGCCTTAAATTTATTTTTAAAAATTCTGCAGATACCCTGTAAATAGTGAAATAAAATTCCTTCATATTTGTTGATATTTGTGCATTGAAAATATTTTTGACTGACATTTAAACTTATATCTGATTTTTTTATATTTAAAAAAAAAAAAAAAGGTCTTTTTATTTGGGCTAGTTAAATTAATTTTCGGGCTACCAAAATCTGAAGAATACCTGCCCGAAGGGCTACCAGGGATTTTGAAATTTTGCGAGCCCTTTGTGCGCGCACACACACACACACACACACACACACACCCCAAACAGTATAGCAATAACAAATAAATATGAGAAATATCCATGCAATGTCCATGACACTATTTTAGTAGAACAGAATAATAAAAAATGTAGACCTGGAAACATCTATTTTTGTCCATGTTTACAAAACGGTGCAAGTAATCAGGATGTAAATGTTATATTAAATCATTCTCTAATATCTTTCATAACATAGTTGAGAAACTTTGTGCAAATGTTTAGTAGAAGTTAAAATTTCTGTGCCAAAGTGATGAAAAATACTCATTTAGATTAAACACAGCTAATTAATACATACACTAGTGTGCATACATAAATATCAAATATAAACATCGTTCAACTATATATAATCAGTCGAGAGGGCTGTAAAGAAAATGAGTACAAAACCAATTTTGTTTTAATTTTTGTCATTAGTCTCTTACCCTTATTTTTTTAGTACCAATGTCCTGAATTATCCACATGCAGAGAATTTTTGAAACGGTCATATATTTCTCCAAACACTATAAATGTCATGAGAAAAAAAAAAACACTTTAAATTCCAAATGTTTTTTTTCTGGGTCCCATGAGGATAACATGAACAAATCCAACACAGATGAAATACAAGCAAGTCCAAGACTTTTAATGTCAGCTCAGTTCAGATCATCTCATGTTGCTTATAGGACCAACCGCTCCACTGCAACTGCAGCAATGCTAAACAAAAAGCTTCGTCAATGCGATGAAATAATCTGAAGAAAAACAAGATCTCACTTGTTTAAGATTTAGCCTAACATTTGTTCAAGAAAAATAAACAACAAATGTACAAATGCTTTTTTGAGGTTATAGTAAACTCAACACCACACTGAATCACTCACTCTTTGGGTTCCGGGGCCAACGATCAATCACCATTTGTTTCTACGCCCCAATGGATCTATATTAATTTAAAACAGCTGACAGTTAATTATAGTCACACACAGTTCACGATCTCCCCAATAGCCCTTAAATACAGAGGGAAAGGGCTGATGGGAAAACATAAGATGCCAAGACAAAGAAAACTCTGGACTTGGGTACAGAAAATATTGTGAACACGCATCCTTCTAGTATCACTGCTTTATCCATCTGGATTCACTCTGTCAGCTACAATGAGCTCATGCCTGTGTGTTTCACCAGCTCAACACTACCCACAGAAAAAAACAGCTCTGAGAATGCAGAAAGAACACTTAAGCCTAACATTTACAATCACCTCAGTGTTAACGCAGCCACGGGAATCTGGCCCAATCCCTCTAAAAAAAACACTAGGCTCTCTTCAAAGACTAAAACAGGGTGTATCATATGACTACACTAAGACAAGACTCTTATAGCTCAAAGATAAGAGTTTCAGAGCAATCAGGAGGGACAGTGGAGCTGTAAAAAAAACTGATTTCAGCAGATGTAAGGTTCTCTCACTACTGTCCATTTCCTCATTGAGGAATCTGATTCCAAAGTTCACTGCTGTCAGGCTTGCAGGACAGAGCTCTGCGGTTCTTTTCGGCAAGATTGGCAGTATTGTCTAGCAAACTGCCAAAATCTATAGTGATACATGGTGAGCTGGAGGAAACAGCCCATTGTAAATTTAATTTCCCTTCACTGTATGACTAGCAGTGTGACATTCCATCACCAGCCAAAGCACTGTGAGCTTCAAGGAAACTTGTCTACCCGCAAAAAATAAAACAAGCAGTAGTTTTTCCTGACATCAGAACTTTTTTTAAAAAGTAACATTTTTCAAACAGCGGGAGAGAGTATAGGATCAATGATCCTGTTTTACTTCAAGACTCACCACTGCACAATGGAAATAGTGTAGAAGTACAATGGACATCCTACTGGCAGCAGGAGCACAAGAGTCAGATTTCACTTATTCTCTGGGGTATTACACCTCCTGGTGGTGGAGCGAAGCACTGCACTAAAATATACTGAGATCAAATGGTTAGACTACAGTGAAGAGTTAACAGTTTAAAATATTTCTATTTATGTCCTTTATTCAATAACTTTGCTTGAGAAATTCAAAATAACTACTTTAATCTCTTAACCATCATGTTCATATATGTAGAAACACACATACCATTCAGAAGTTTGGGGTCTGGAAGATCTTTAATATTTTGCTCACCAAGGCTGCATTTATTTGCTCAATATGGTAAGAACAACACAGTTGTGTAATTGATTTTAATAGATCTTAATGCAAGTTTATATTAAATATAATTTATTTCCATAATGGCAAAGTTACATTTCCAGCAGCCATCACTCCAGTCTTCAGTCACACGATCCTTCATTATTACGATTTGCTTCACAAGAAACGAACTAACGATTTGCTTTGTGGAAACTGATACCATCAGGATTCTAGGACAAAATGTTCAAAAGAACAGCATTAATGTGTCCTTTGCAAAGTGAGATGTTTGCAGACCCCTAACTTTTGAAGAACATTGCACACATACATTTTTTTTTTTATTGCATCAAATCTACGCAAATGGTGAGATAAAACCAGCCCAGAGTTTAATTCATATTACATTTCAGTTCAAAGTCACTGTCACCTTGCTTAACACCCCGTAAATCTTCTGGCTAATCAAGCAATTGCAGAAATGCAAGTCTACATTTTAATATCCTTAACGTATTTAGGCAAAGTATTCACTCAGCATCAATATGCCTTTAACAGCATGCTTTATTTTAGAAAAAACTATTGCTCCATCCTCTTAAAATAGTAAACCCAAACAAGTGCAAAAATTACAGAACTATACACGATGACAACTGCAGTGACTGCAAAGAACCAACTTTATGCATGCTTTATTTTTGTTCATTTTAAGTGCCCATTTCAGAGCTACCAACATGGGTTGCAGAACAGTTTGATCCTCACTCTATACCTCCAGAGGAGCTCTAGGTCAGTGCAGGGAAATCTTCTGGATCATCTGGGTTTGGAGCCTTAGGAAACGCCAAAACATGATTTAGCCTCAAACCACCACAGGCACAGTTTCTCACACAGCATGAACACCCATCTGGCTTGTAAAGTGCCTTGAACTAAAACTCTTGCATTTCACAACACAGTGTTGTCTGGGCATGGGCAATTTATGATGCAACCAATACAACTAACTTACAGATTCAAGTTTTTGTGGAGATCTTTGGGATGGCATGGATGGAGCCCCACGGCCACGACCACCTCGTCCTCCTCTCCCACCACGAGAAGGCCGAGCCAGGCTGCCAAAGTTGATCTCCAGTTGACAAGTGATGTCATTGGCCGGGCGGCGGAAAACCACATCCTCTTCATCCAAGCCATTATGATGTTTCTAGAACAAGAACAGCAGTTATAAGAGTGAATTTGTATCCAACAGGCTCTAAGTGCTAAGAATGAGACTCCTCACCTGAAGGAATTTGGACTTATGGATGACCACGGCCTTGGACAGCACAGAGGTATCTGCCTTACGGATATTCAGCTCCACCTTAGGCCTGCTTTGCTCCTGTTGGGCTTTCCACTCATCCAGTGTCATCTCTAGGGCAAGCTCAATCACTTCCTCGGTCTCAGAAGGTCTGAAAGAGGAGCAATTGTACACTTACATCCATTATGATCTATAAAAGGAAGCTCAAATTCATAGTCATCAAATAACCATATTCACTGTCAAGCATCATCTGCGTTACAAGATATTTCCTGCAGCTGTGAGAAACGGACCAGAAGGAAAATGACAACCATTTTATGATGGGGGGGCTGCTTTTTTCAGCAAAGTGAGAAAATAATTCCAATCTGACATAATATAAAAAGTGAAACGTCACCTCATATGGTCTCTCATCGAGCCCCAGTTACGAGATCCACTGCCGCTGCGCTTCTCTTCTGATCTGACACTCCTGATTTAAAGCAACATCCAATTTATCAGATGATTGTGTGCATAAAAAGTTCTATGCTCAAATTTGTTCATTTTCATACTTTCAACCCAAAAATAAAAAAAGACAAAATGCAAAAACACTAGGGATGCACGATATTATCTGACTGATATCGGAATCGGCCGATAATGGCTTTAAACGTAAATATCGGCCCTATATTAAAAATTATGCAAATATGTCTTGCCGATAGGAGGAATACGTTAATTCACAGGTGCTCAGGGTGTGCTAGCGATTAGATCACGTTAGCAGTGTGGCTCATTCTTGAAGCAAAATTTTGTCTGAATGATGATTAGATTCACTCTTTTGGATCGCTGCATTTAAACTGAGAAAGCACGTACAGAATGACGCGTTTGGTGTATGATAGAGTAAACAGTATAAAATAGCCTACACAAATAACATTTAGACTGTTTCTGATTAAATAAAGTAATTGATGTCATAAAATGTGTTTATGTTTTGATTTAAATGTCAGAAGCTACAGCTTACATGGGAAACAAAAACAAAAAACAAACATGACACTTGTAAATTAAATAATTTTATATATACTGATTTATTCATTAATGTGTAATATGTTTTAGTTTTTAAACAAATCATAAGCTCTAAAAGATTTTCAAAATTTTTACAACTCTTTTGCTTTAGACCATCTACAAATGTTAAATCTTAAAATAAAATGTTAAGGTTACTACTGC